TCTTAGGCAAAGTTCTCACATTGGTAGATATATGCCATCATGTGCCAGCAATGCCCCTCTGCCATGTACATTGGCCAAACCAGACAGACTCTCCGCAAAAGAATTAATGGACACAAATCTGACATCAGGAATCATAATACTCAAAAACCAGTGGGAGAACACTTTAACCTGTCTGGTCATTCAATGACAGACCTGCGGGTGGCTATATTATAACAGAAAAACTTCAAAAACAGACTCCAATGAGAGACTGCTGAGCTGGAATTGATATGCAAACTAGACACAATCAACTCAGGATTGAATAAGGACTGGGAATGGCTGAGCCATTACAAACATTGAATCTATCTCCCCTTGTAAGTATTCTCACACTTCTTATCAAACTGTCTGTACTGGGCTTTCTCTTACTTAATTGGCCTCTCAGAGTTGGTAAGACAACTCCCACCTGTTTATGCTCTCTGTATGTGTGTATATATATCTCCTCAATATTTATTCCACTCTATGTGCATCCGAAGAAGTGGGCTGTAGTCCACAAAAGCTTATGCTCTAATAAATTTGTTAGTCTAAGGTGCCACAGGTATTCCTGTTCTTTTTGCGGATACAGACTAACACGGCTGCTACTCTGAAACCTGTCATTTTGCTCTTTCCTGTTACTCTGGACAAATAAAAAGGCAGACAATATTTTATTTACCAGGGTTAAAAGTCTGGAATTATTACTCCAGACTTCTCGCTAGATTTTTTTATATGCTTGTCTTTTTTTCCCCCCTCCCTCTTCCCCTGCCCCTTCTTCTTCATCTTCTTCTTCCTCTTCCAGGACCCAAACTGTAATCTTTCCTCCAGGCCATACTCCTTTGGCAATGTCTTAGTAAGAGAGTAAAAACTGAACTGTAAATGCAACTCCCTGATTTCCATTCTGTAGACCCAGGACAGGCTCCAGGGATTTTGCTGCCCCAAGTGGCACAAAAAAAAGAAGAAGCCACGATCGTGATCTGCGGCGGCAATTCGGCGGGAGGTCCTTCGCTCCGAGCGGGAGTGAGGGACCGTCCACCGAATTGCCGCCAAATAGCCGGACGTGCCGCCCCTCTCTGGAGTGGCCGCCCCAAGCACCTGCTTGGCAAGCTGGTGCCTGGAGCTGGCCCTGCGTAGACCCGCAACCATGATGGCTAGTGTCTGCTCAGAAGGGAAAAGTAGCCTTTTTGCTAGTGGCCACAGAGCACTGCCTAAGCATTCTCTAGCAGTTCTCTTCTCAGCAGCAGCAGCATGCATGTCTTTTGAACCGATTCCATCACCCAATATAACATGGCTCAAAAAATGAAATCTGATAGGGGGATTTTGAGTATGTTAAGTGGGCTTCAGTGTCTAAATGAAGTGCTTGGCTATTCCCAAATAGAAATTCAACTGGAAAAGAATTTTCAAGGGACTGTAGCAATTGTAACAACTAATTTGAAACAAAAAGAGATCCATATAATCAAAAAAATAGATTATTAGCTTGTTAAACCTATATAAATTCACTGTACACAACTGGCAGTGAGAGGTACTGGTAGCTGAGTGGGAAGAAATAACCTTATGATTTACTGTTCTGTAAATACTCGTCTTTATTTATTTCCTTAGCCTCATTGTCAGACCAAACCCCTGTTTTCTTCCTGATGACCAAGTTTTATTTTAATTTGCAATGAAAATTATTCCTATAAAATTTATATACAAATAAAGGGGGAATTTCTTAGGGCCGGGTGATCTAAATAGTAAATGTGCCAATAAATGGCTAAATGACACTTGATGATATTCAGACAATGATTGTCATCCTATTACCTCCATTGCAGTCTGACTCCATAATGCTGCAATTCCAATAACTGTTGATAATGTCAGTAATTCACAATCAAAGGAAAAACATTTACGAGACTCAAAACTACTGCTGCTTGAAAATTAGTCCCAATTAGTTTCCAAACTGAAAACTATCCTTTCCTCAGGACTCTGGTTCATTTTTTGCTGCTTGCTTACGGCAGAGGCAAATACACTGCTGTTCATTTTTTTTAACAACCTCAAAAGCTTCTGAGTAAAATTTCCAAAAATACTTAATTGATTTAGGAGACAAAGCTCAGTGAGACCTAAACTTCTAAGTGCCGAAGTCTCTGTTGAAAATAGGACTTGGGCACTTTTGAAAATTTTATCTTCTGCCATCTTTTATTAATAGTAAATAATAATTAAGACAGAGAACATTAATGCATCAAAAATGCATGCCTACCCACATAAGCAAAATCTGACATTACTGTAACCTTTATCCTCTCTTCCCTCTACCTTATTCTTATTTTTTTGGGCCTGGTCTACATGAGAAAGTTTCACCAGTCATGCCACCCGGTGCATACACTCTTATTCTAATCTGAGAATAAAAGTGTCCTCACAGGGGATTATAGCAATATAACTACATTGGTTTAAATTCACGTTAGCTTATCCCAGTCTAACTTTCCGGTGCAGACAAGCCCTTAGTTTACCGGTTGGGTCAGGTATCTATTTTGATTGTTAACTCTTCAGGACATGGGCTGAGTCATCTATCGATCAAGTATCTAGCATATTATTTATTTGCATCAAAAGTAACAAATACTATCATCCTAAATATGCATGCTGTTTCATATGCTGCATCATCAAAACAGGAGTGACTTTTTCTCATGCAGAACAGCCACTCTGAATGTAAAAACTAGCCATGTTTATTTTCATTTTTGAGAGAACCAGACCCCCCTGGAAACAAACTATGGTTAATAGTTTAGTTGTCTGGTGCCAGTGGCTGGGATTTCCTATTGTAAAGTGATGCATTAGTAAAGATGTAATAGAAATAAAATTATTTATTGTTGTCAAAAGCAAAAATCCAGTTAATTTTACCAATGCTCACTGGTATCAAGGAGTATTGGAAAGTAGTAACCTAACAGCATGCAGAAACAACCTATCCATTCTCCAGACTTGAAGTGCTGAAGGTTCACATTGGATGGATGGATGGACTGTGCTTGTGTCTTGGAGTTGCCTATTAGTGGACACAAATTCTAGCCTGTATAATTCTTTTGAAGACTGGAAGTGGGAAAAAGTTAAATTGTACAAAAGAAATAGCTTGTGAGGAAAAGATTAAATGAAAAGTTAAGTCAAATATCCACCTTTAGAACAACCAAAAAAAAAATACAGATGCTGTCTAGTTATTCTCTTATTGTCCTTTCTACATTATGGATTTTACACAAAAGTTCTCATAGCTGATTACCTCATGACTTAGATGAAGTTAAAAAAATGTGTGTAAATATTTGCTTCTGATTTATAGAGTGACTATATCAATGTTAAACAGGAGTACTTGTGGCACCTTAGAGACTAACAAATTTATTAGAGCATAAGCTTTCGTGGACTACAGCCCACTTCTTCGGATGCATATAGAATGGAACATATATTGAGGAGATATATATACACACATACAGAGAGCATAAACAGGTGAGAGTTTATGTTTATATCAATGTTCTGTATGCATTTATATTTCGCTAAAATATAAACAGTATCTTGATAAGACAAAACATTAGAACTATAATTCATCCTTTTTTATTGCTTGTATAAAGATAGGTGCAGAATCTGTTCCCTGCCTCCAATACATTCTCTATTATTAGTCCCCATGACATTCCTAACGTAGAGCTTTCTACTTCTTACCTGCCAGAAGCAATATCAAAAATACTGCAAAGAAGTCTGGATACTCTGCTAGACCAGAAAAATCCATTCTGAAGTAGGTTCTGAAAAACTGACCAATTTGTTTTCCAAGGAGTTCATCAAAGGTGCCACTCCACGCTCTTGCTACACTGGATGTACCTTCATAAAATACAAAAAAATAGGATTTTGCACAAACAATGATGGTACAACAGTTAGTACTATAGAAATAACATTTTGCTATTTGTATTTAGGAAGATACAATTATTGTTACACAAGTGGTCTTTTTCTCCATAGATTTTATTATAGCAATTCATACGTACAAAATTATAGTATAATATATTAAACTACAATAACTATATCCTAATTTACTGCATTAGAAAAGTTCAAGTAAACTCTTCTATAATAGCTAACTTTGATAGCATAATAATCAATAATAATTTTTCATTTAGAGTACTTTTCATTATATTATTTCATTATATTATACTTTTATTTAATCCCCAAACATTCTGAAAATTACAACTGATATAAAATAACTTCCCTCTGTGCTGGAGTGCAGCCACTTACAAGGTGAAACATGGTATGGCTTTAGCAATGCACAGTAATACCACCCAACAGTTTAGGACAGGAGTTGAAGAATAATTTTTCCAGCTGTAATTACAGAAGTTTTAGTAGGCAGAATGAAATTGCCAGAGTTTGAATTTAGCCAGCATGCAAAGGTTAACCCCCAACTCTTGAAAAAAACGCTACAGGACCACATGCAATCAAGACCACATTTTTATATCACTCTCAAAAAGCAACATCCCCATCAGCAGAATGTCCCCTAATATAGTACTTGAATGTACTGGGTGAATTGTGATATAAGCCATGGTCCTGCAATTGAACCTGCACATGCGGATATGTGCACCCACACAGAACATCATTAACTTAATTGACTCTGTACTGGTAGTACTCTGTGCCTGTGCAAAGCCTCAATTGCAGGATCACAGTACTGGAAGGAAACATGATACTTGAGTCACAAATATCACTTCTTCCATTTTTCCTGACTTACTAGGGTGTCTCTCTGAATCTCTCCCAGCCAAGCACTGTCCTAATTAGCTTTATATATGATAGGATATCAGCCCAAAGCTGGTATGTCTGCAGGACACTACATCATTGATGGAGTTACATTAATTGATACTTACATTTCATGATTTGTTTTCAAGTGTAGTTCTACACTGATGGCACCGTCCCTAGATCTACTAACTGTTTGTATCCAGAAACATTTATACTTACTGCTTTTACTCCAACTAGCCCTGCTGAGCCAACACAGCAATGAGAAACTGAATTAGGTTCTATTTTTTCTTTTGCATCATCAATAGAATTGTTTGCCACTATTTTCCAATTAGGTACACTTGTTTAAGCTGTTGAAGAGAACTGGTTTGCAAAGGCCTCACAAAGTATCTATTTTGGCTTGAAGAAGCTTTATTACGGGGGATGATGCATGAGAAGGAAATAACCCAGCCTGACTATCAGATGCCAGGGTGTGTCTGAAGTAGCAGCAGTTAAGAAAAAAGAAAGAGAGAGCCCAAACCTACATTTTATTTCTAGTTTTCCCAGTCACCCCATTAGTTTTACACTGGTCTCCCAAACTTACCTATAACGTATGATAAAATGAGATTCCAGCCAGTGATAAAAGCCCACAGTTCACCAACAGTTACATAAGTATACAAATATGCAGAACCAGTCTTGGGAACACGAGCACCAAACTCAGCATAGCAAAGACCTGCCATCACAGATGCCAAGGCAGCAATGAGGAAAGAAATAACAATACTAGGTCCAGAATCTGCTTTTGCAACTTCTCCAGCAAGTACGTAAACACCAGCACCAAGAGTGCTTCCCACTCCCAGAGCTATAAGGTCCAGAGTGGATAAACATCGGCATAACTTGGAATCTTCAAGACTGTCCACAGTGACAATTTTTCTTCGCAACAAACACCGAACAAATGACAGAACAGGTCCACAGGGTATCATTTTGGATGTAAAACTAGAAAAATAAAATAGGTCATTAAAAAACAGAAGGTATAATATAAACAAAGCGTCACAATTTAACCTTCCAAAAGCCACTTTGCTGATGGATAATACATTTTGCATTTAAACAAAATTGTGGATCATTAGCAATAAATAGTTTATACAGAAATGTCTTCCTACCTCCTCTTTTCATTGCTTTGTTAGATTCAGTTTACTTTCTGACTTAGCTGACTGACTGGAAATGTAAAATATACTATATGACAACTGATTGTGATTACAGTTTTAGTTAACTTTAAAAAAAACTCTAAAAGCTGAGAGTCTGCAAGCTAATAAAAACACTTTAGAAATATTTTGTGATGACACACAAAAGATGCTACAGGGGTTTGGGTATCTAAAGACAAGGAGAAAGATTGTTAAAGAAATATGAACTGTCTGAATGTGATTCAACATACCCTCCTTACAAGATAAGATCACATTCATGCATGTACACTGTTCCATGAAAGTAAACAGAATTAAGAAGAACAGGAGTACTTGTGGCACCTTAGAGACTAACAAATTTATTAGAGCATAAGCTTTCGTGGACTACAGCCCACTTCTTCGGATGCATATAGAATGGAACATATATTGAGGAGATATATATATATATATATATACACACATACAGAGAGCATAAACAGGTGGGAGTTGTCTGTAAACAGAATTAGTGATTTCTCAACAAAATAGAAGAGGTAGCAACCTTACCCCACTTTTGTTTTCAGCTCACACACTCTTTTCAGAAAATTTCCATCATATTTAAAACTTAACATAAGGTAAAGCCAGATCAAATAACTTATACTTTATTATTGATGGTTTGCCCTCAACCTTCCCTACAACAGAATCAAAGCGGACAGCCACCACCATATCATACAGCCTGTAAACTGCTTTACCAATGACATAAATAGGAGCAGGAGCAGCACCAATATTCCTAAGGATTTTGTATTTTCAGATTCATGGCTACAAATAGCAATCTTTTATAAAAACTATTTTGATGGAGCCAAAGCAATTCATGATTAGATTCATACGACATGGAATTTGCTTTTAAAAGTTCTCTTTAGTGAAAGCGGTTTAATGTTAATTTTTGGAAGGTTTGTTTCCTATCAACAGCATCCCAAAAAGTAATTAATTCTGGAATATGGCCAAAGAATTTAACCTTGTAATTATCTAATGAAGAGTAAAAAAAAAAACACAAAAATATGTATTTATCATACAGTAACTGTGGTTCTTCAAGATGTTGTGGTCAGTATGGATCACACTGCAGGTTTGCATGCACGAGATTGGATTGCTTTGAATAGCAATGTCCGTTGGTGCCATGCACATGCCCTGTTCCTCCTCATGCTCCTATGCCTGGGCATTAAAGGTGGAGCAGCCCCAAGCCTCCCTCCATTCCCTCAAAATTCAAAGTCAGAGGATTACTCCATGTTGCTGCCTGGCAGCTCTCAGAAATTGGCACATTTCTGAAGGAGGCAGAGGATGTTGTCGAACGGGAAAGTTACAGCAGAGTTCAAGCATCAAGACTCAGCAACCAACTGGTAACTCGGCAAGAGACATCGTGATATCAATTTTCGTATCCTCTGCAAGGAGAAGGCTTGACCTTTAGAATGCCCAGATGTGGCTATAAACAGATGGGGTGACAGTTTTTGTCAATGTAATAAAGCAGCATCCTGGGCATATGTAGTGTGTGTAATTTCTTTACTTCCTGTGCCAAATGTGGCTTCAGGAAGAAAACTGGCAGGTTGGTCGACTGGTTTAGATGAAATTCTGAGACGCCCTTAGGAATGAATGTCAGGTGAGGTTGCAGCACTTCCTTGTCCCTCTGGAATGTAATATAGGGGGATCAGCTACCAACTTCCAAAGATCACTCTCCCTCCTGGGTGAAGCAATCTTTGTGCAATACCACTGAGAAGGAATACACCGGCATTCAGAAGGAGGAATATATCTCCTCCTTGAAGGGCAGTGCCAAGGGATGGAATGGGACTGGTACTGGCTGCCTCTTTGGTACCGAGGACATCTCCCGACACTGCTATTCCAAAAAAATCCAATCTTGTGCATGAGATGAATGTGAGCCCATGATGGGATCCACACTAACATATACTCAATGAAGAAATGTACATTTGTAAAAAACGTTGCAACTCAAATGAACATAAATTGCTTTGCAAACTAATTACAGTATATATGTCCATTATTGCATCGACCATTGAAAGGCAGTTATATGTGGGACAGCAAACAAACGCTGTTTAACAGCATATAGCAACAAAAGTATAGGATAGAAGTGAAGAAAAAATGCATATGACTTTAGGCAAAGCATATTAGGGAGAATACACTTGCTCAAGTTGAAGTTTGGCCTTCACATTGAAACTAACACCCCCAATCACGACTAAAGTGCCAAAGAATCTTTAGTGACCATTCGTCACAAGTAGTCAGAAGCTTGGTTTTAAGTGTTATCCATAAGGGCTTGTCTATATGAACTGTTTGTGTGCAGCAAGCTGGGGTGTCAATCTACCACACATAGCCTGGTACACACTAAAAGTTCCGTGGTGTGCTCTGATCTTCCTTGCTGTGAAATGGAAATAGACTAAAAAGTGCTATGGAATACTGCTGCTGTGCATTAAAAGTCCTGTAGTGTACTTAGTTTGATCTATTCTCATTTCAAAGTGGAGTAGATCAAAGCACATTATGGGACTTTTAGTGAATAGCAGCAAGGTCCACACAGACTGTTAGCGTGCAGCTGGCTAACAGAACACAGATTTACACCACAGCTTGCCGCGGACTAACTGTTCCTACAGATATGCCTTAATATAGCACCTCCAACCAGCCCAGTTTAAAAAACATACTGAGGCACTGATACAGTACCAAGATGGATAAAAATCAATGTTTTTTAAAAAAAATAAAAATAGTTTTTTTCCTCAAAAAGCATTTTATAAAAAAATCCTATCTAAAGATAAAGATACATTATAGCTCACAGATATCTCATCATGGAATAGGGATTATAAATTCTAACTCTATAGTATGAGACAATATATTCATGTAATGTTTAAGAAAAGTTTTGTAAATGAATTCCAATAGTTCGTGGATTAGGGACCCAATTTTATGGGGTTCCAGGGGCTTCTGTATAGTTTATTTAGGTTACTCTTTCTATCTACCCAATGGGACTCAGTCTAGAAGATACCATCAGAGATGCCTAGTTTTGCAGTTCTCAAACTGTGGATTTGTGTCTCCAGAGATAACATGCTTGTTAACAGCAAAATAAGTGTTTTAAAATAAGTAAATAATATATAGAGGTGAGAAATAACACCTCTGTCCCTCTGCAAATTTGTGTACACGGAGTCAATCCCTTACCTCTCTCTAAAAGTGCAAAGTTTCAAAAAGTTCAATGAATAGAAGATTGTTGGGGGCAGAATAGATCTGGACAAGGAGAAAAAGTCTGGAGATAAATGTGAGAAGGGAAGGACAGGCAGTAGAAACAAAAGTGAAACTGTTTGAGCAGCATATTCAAGAAGTTTTGAGGTCTTTCTGAGTGTAGCCTTCATTGATTTGAGATCCATCATACCTAGGGTTACCATACGTCCTCTTTTTCCCGGACATGTCCAGCTTTTCGGCAGTCAAACCCCCGTCCGGGGAGAATTGCCAAAAAGCCGAACATGTCCAGGAAAATGGCGGCTCTGCTCCTCCCCGACTCTTCGGCTCTGTTTAAGAGCCGGGCTGCCCGAGCACTACCGGCTTCTCCGGACCCTGCGCCGCCGGAGGCCAGGAGGGGAAGTGCCCGGCTGGAGGCGCAGGGTCCGGAGGCATAGGGGCTGCCCAAAGCCCGAGCGCTACCGGCTTCACGGTTTGC